AAGGCAACACAAAAGACTTCTAGAAAATAAGCTGGAGAATATCTTCATGACTCTGGGATAGAGAAAGATCTAACAACATAGAAGAAACTCTAATCACAGAGGAAAACACTGATAAATCAGAGTATTACTACTATTTAAAGGTTACTTTATTCATCAAAGACATCATTAAGAGAGTGAAAAGGGAAGCTAAATACACATGATTCCAATTATAAAAAGTTCAAAAATAGACAAAACCAAGCCATGTTAGAGGACGGAAGAGTTGTAGTTACCTCTGGGGAGGAGAGGCACACTGCCTGGGGAGGGGTATGGAGTAGGTCATGGGTTCCCGACCATGTCCTTGCCTGGGGTGGAATGGTTTTGGCGAAGTGTGTTCACTTTGTAGTAATTCATTGGCCTAAGCACTCATGAATTATGTAGTTTTATATATTATTGTTATGCTTCCATTAAAAGGTTTTGAAGAAACTTTTTGACATGTACTATTAAATCTCCAAACTTTTCAAAGGACAGTTTAGGACTTGATTTCCCACTCATTTGGTATTCAAATAAATCTGGGTATCCTGTTGAAATTTTAAGACTATCATAAAAGTTTCACCACTGTCTAGTGACCTAACTTTCAAAGACAGAACTGACATGAACTAGGGTATTCATATGGACATTTCAATTCTGGGGTAAAGTATATTTACTGGCTAATGCTGCTATCTCTCCATCAACTTCTTCATATGCATTTTTCCTAGTTTACTCCGGGCTTATTCAACTAAAATTGATGTTCTGCTAATAAAACAAACTTGTCGTTTGGAAGCAGGCTCCTCTACTCATAACTTACTTGCTTGTTCACCTCCAAACCAGTACACTGCATTTATCTTTCTCCAAATTCTGGTACTTACTGGGGATATCTGAAAGATATATGATTCAGCAGGAACACTTCCCTATTTCTGGTATCTCTGTTGGCCTCAGAATCTTGCCTAGAATCTTGTTTAGATTCTGAAAGCTCTCTGCAGTGCTCAAACAGTCCATGACAAAAATGTTGCTCTTACAATTTATCACATCTCATGCTATGAACTCAGCATAAAAATCAGGTTTAGGGGCTGGGGATATAGCTCAGTTGGTAGAGTGCTTGCTTTGCATGCACAAGGCCCTGGGTTCAATCCCCAGAACTAAAAAAAAAAAAAAAAAAAAAAAATCAGGTTTAGTACATAAAACTGGAGCTGTTGTATTAGGGCTCTTGATTGGCCGATGTGTTAAATCAGGCTGCAGTCTGCTCATCCCAAGGCTTCCTACATCCTCAGTTCAAAGATCAGAACCCAGTGGAGGTTGGCCAGGTTGAAGAAGTCATCATTTGACCATGGCAAGAAAGCTGATGTAATGGCTCCTGCCACTACCACAAATCTCCCAGTCTAGAAAATGTCTATCCATACTTTACCACATGAGCAGCGTGTTCACATTGTGTCTGTTTTAGAAAGTGATTTAATCTCTAGCAGTGTTAGGGTGTGCTGGTCCAAATGTCAGAACTAGAGCACAGCCAGCCACAGCATTCTCTTTTGGAGCTCAAGCCAACCTAGTGCTTCAACTCCAAAGGACCCAAGATCTCTAAACAGAAACCTAGTAGATTCCTAGCACCCGAACTCACTGATCACATTTTGCTGGTGACTCGCAATATCATTGTGGAACAATGGTGATAGCAAGAACCTAACCATACCTATGTGCAGGCACTGACTTGTCTTTTACAAAGTACCCAGGACAGTCTAATAAACAGCTGTCAATCTACTTACCTAGATCCACAAAAAGATGCTTTTCTCCCATGTTGTTCTTTACAATTAAAAATGAAAGATCAGGACCACTTTTGTCAGCTGACCCCAGTCTCTCCAGTTCCTCCAAATTTAACGCCCAGCTCTCTCCCATATCCTTAACTGTCAACATTTTGTTCAAGGAACTCCCTTGTTTTAATGGTGCTTCAGAAAAATGGGAAGATTGATAATCTGTTATCTCTAGAATTCTATCATCATCTTCACTGGCAATAAAGTGAAAAGCAGGCTGCAGAATCTTTCTGACAAAATTACCTAAGGAAAAAAGGTACTGTGATTAATTTTTTTCTGCAACCTACAATTTAAGATCCAAACATAAATCTACGTCTGAAAATTTTACACAGTAAGGGTTTTTTATTATTGTTTTTTTAATTTCCGGTTTTGAAACTGAGTTGTTGCTGTAAACTGTAACATGTGTCTCCTGCTACTTCCTTCTTTCTGTGTACTCTTACTTTTTCAATTTCCCCTAGCATAGGAGCTTGGTGTCAGTTGTAAACAAATCATTTACATGTTGCTAGTATGGTGCTGAATCTAACATGCTGTCACCAAAAAAGCACCACTTGTATTAATACAAATCAAAAAGACTTATCTTTACAATCAATGATTAAAGAATGAAGGGTTTATATCAGGAAACTGTGCTGCTAAGATAATGGACAGAAACACTGAGAGAATCTCTACCATACCCTCATGGAGTTAACAAATTTTTTTAATAATTTTTTTTATTTATGTAAGACAGTGGAATGCATTACAATTCTTATTACACAAATAAAGCACAATTTTTCATATCTCTGGTTGTATACAAAGTATATTATTACAAATTCATGTCTTCATACATATACTTTGGATAATAATGTCCATCACATTCCACCGTCATTCCTAATTCCATGTCCCCTCTCTTCCCCTCCCTGGAGTCAATAAATTTCTCACAAGCTCATTCTTTCCCTTTACCTGCCATTACATGCCCTAAGAACCCTGACTTGTCAGTTCCAAGGTGATTGCTAATCCCACCTCTCCCTCCAACCAGTCCCAGGATGATCTATGGCCTCATAGAGTGAAAGCAATTAGATGAAAGCAATTAGAAACGTTTCATCTCTGACATTTACCCTAAGAGCTCTTCATAGTAGAGTCATCTTATCTGTACATAAAGTTGTTTAGACAAACTAACATTTGTTTAAACTCACATTTACTATTTATTAGCACAACTTCAAGTAGTAACTTGGCTATTAAGTGTAACAATACTGAAGAAATGTAATAATGTAAGTAAAATTTAGTTTTAATTTTAAAACTGTAATACTCTGGGGTTTTTATTACTTTATTTACCAAAAAGGCTTGAATCCTTAAATTATAACATACACATTCTAATTACATTCCTATTCAAAGAAATAAATCCAATTTCTTACAAAACACTAATCATCAAAATGAAAGCAAAAGCATTGATCCTTACAGTGATACACAGACATGAGGGAGAGAAGGTAATCACTGAGTGATAAGAAATCATGACTCAAAAGTACAACAAGTAAAATAAGCATAAACTGAATCAGTTAATTTTCCTAGAAACTTAAAATTATATCTCCTCCACCCTAGGCTATGGGAGGCCATCCTCACACCTGATTTGAGTTACCTCCCTGGCTGGGTGAGAGGCGCTTAGGCATAGCTGTGTCAGAGCTTTCCCCACCCTTCTCCAGGTTCGAGGGCTTGTCCATAGAGAGGCATGTCTGGCCACTACCCCAAAGACCCAATCATCGCCCCTGACCTTGGGACACTGCCCCCCCCTTAATCTTCATTGGATGGGATTTTCCCCAGAATTTTTTGTTTCTCTCTCTCTCTCTCCTCTACCACAATAGGTGGCTTGAGGCTGGAGCTAGGAGGAACTGTCCTGGAGCTGGTTTAAAGGTAATTAGAGTCTTGTCTCTTTAATTTAAAACTCCCTAGCGGTTTCTCACTATTCGAACCTTCTTTCATGAAGCTAGCACTGTGGAGGGCTAAACTAGGTAATAAAACAATAAAAGTTGTGACAGTAGTGCTGAGGAGATCAGGTAGGCCCTTGACCTTGGATAACCTAGCCAGGATATGATGACAGCAGCTAAGTGCCACAGTCTGACTCCCAGCAAACTATTCTGCTTTCTACTTCCCTTCTCGAATCATGTTACCCACACTCCTCATAGACAGCAACTCATATTGGGTGGCAATAACTGAAAAGAACTAATCAATCACAGACACTTCAGATACTAGCGCAGAAGCGTATTTGTATAGATTAAACTCTAATTCCCCTTTCTAAAAGGAACTTGAAATTTCATCAAGAGATACACTGAGAGAGGGGAACTGAAGGGAAAGTTGGAACTACTTTATATTCTCTGCATCTCATTCTGGCACTTTATAATTTTAGAGCCAAGAGCCTTAGACGACATCCCATATATCAGGTCTGATTATGTCTCTTGCGTTAACCACACTAGATTTTCATTGCTCCCCAAATAGCCAAACTTGCATTCTATACTTTTGTTTTTAATGCTTTCCTGACATAAATGCTTTTTTACCTTTGTCTATATAATAAATGTTGTCTGCTTTCAGAAGAAATATGTAGTTCTATTCTCCCTTTCTTTCCTAGCAATAGATTTTCCATTTCTAGTCTGTGGCCAGTAGTCACAGAGAAGACTATGAGGAGTAAACAGGAAACAACAAAGAAATAATCATGCTCAGATTCTGCTTTCACACTCTACTTAATCTCTACACGTTCACTCAGCAAATATCCATTAAATTTCCATTTGTATTTATTATTGCTGCTACTGTTGTTATATTAGTAAATTTTTTATTGATAAAAATACTATTAATATATGTAAGCTAAGCTCTGAAAAAACAATAGTGAATAAGAAATAGCCCCTTGCTGTATAGAAACATTAAGTGGAATAGAGAAGAAGACGGGAAAACAGGAAACTATCTCAGGAAGTGGTAAATGCTTTGATATGATAAGTATGGGACACTTTCTGTAGCCCAGAACACTAAAATAAACATTAGGGTTTGGGATGTGACAGAAACAGCTCAAATGATTTGAGATTTACACTGAAGCGAAGGGCTGTATCTCTAAATGCCCAGTCCTGGAACAAATACTCTGGTTACAATTTTGGGTTTATACATCTAGATTCCAACCCTGAAATTACATGTGGAACAATATTATGAGTCTTTCTTGATGTGGGACCCAAAGCTCAAAGTGAAGGTTACCACAATTCTGAAGCAAAGGTCAGAAATGCAGATATGAGGCATTACAGATAAGGCTTGAAAAGAAAGACTGCTTACGAGTTATCCAGAAAACAGAAATGAATCCTGTTAAACAGAAACCAGTACCAGAACATGTATGGCCAACCCCAACATGTGTGATGAGAGAAAAGCACTAATGCCAAAGATAACCTGAGTAGGTTAACCTTCATGGAACAGAGAGTTTAGAGATCAGGACAAATCCTGGAAAAGCAAAAAAATCACATTTCAATATTTTAGGACAGGTTGGCAACCATAAAAACTTATAAAATTTTAAGCAGAATAAGAAAATATGAGCTGTTAATAGAACTCACAGTATGTTAAAAGGTAGTGTACTTACCAACGTGAACATTATCTTTAAATGCCACATCATGGAGTTGAAATATTAAATGACGGCTAAATTTTTCATCAGTGCTAGAATCCAAGTTGAAAACATCTTCAGATGAACAACTAACATTGTATAATTCTTGAAGTGCTTTACAAACATACTAAAAACACAAGTAAAATGTAAATAATTTGTATGTTTAAATTTTTTTCTATGAGCAAATGCAAATATCTTGGCACAAATAAGTCTAATGTTAAAAATAAATTTTTTACTTACTTTTAGAACATTTACAATATAACAATCTTATCAATTTATAAACTAAATATATCATTTAAAAATTATATTTATGTTCAAGAATTCATTGGCTCTAAAGATTAAAGAGGCCTCTTAGAAGTTAAACAATGTGTACATTAACCTCCTTTAAAATTACAAATTTAAACATCTCTAAACATGAGTTAAAAAGTCATTAATTTCATTTTTAAAATTTGAGCTATTAAAAAATTTCTCATTTGTATTGCACCCCAATTCACCTCCAGGAATGCAGCCTCTGGGGTTAGATGACACTGGCATTGACAGCCATGAGTTACAGAGGAAGCAACCTGGGTAAAGGCTCAAGATGAGGTAACGTAAGTCTGAGTTGTAGCTCTGTCATTTATGAGCTCTGACCCTGGACAAATCTAAACCTTATGTTCCTCAACTGCTAAATGGGAATGATAATAGCACCTAATGTTGGGAGTTGTTAAAAATAGTGAAAAAAATGAGATCTAGGAGTCAGCACAGTGTCTGGCACATGTAACTGCTTGAAAGTACTGGCTATGCAACCTGAAGACAAATCACGTGTCTATAAGCCGTCCTTCTCTTCTTTGCAAAATGAAGCTACTAAGAACCACCATGTGAAGTTATCCTGAAAATAGTAAAAATGTTCTTGCCAATTACTTTAACACCTAATAGTTATGCAACAAATTGTATTCATTAACATTATTTTGGTATTATTAGAGTACCATATTCCCCTTCATTATCTGAGTTTACTCATCAGTAAATTACCACTTTCTCAGAGAAGGTTACATCAATCTCCATTTTGACACCAAATTCTCCTTACGTATTCTATCTCTTTACAGTACTGACACAACTATAATTTTATGCTAATTTTTTTTCAGGGAGAAGATGTGGCCTATTTTTATTAGAAATCAGGAAAGAAGTCTGCAGGACTGCTATATGGAGAGAAAATTATTTTACTGCTGCCCAAACAAGAACACTTCCCCAACCTTTTCTCCCACCATTTATCAAAATATTTAATTATTGTATGATTAGTTGAAGTTTTCCTAATGCCTGGGGATTTTACAGCCTGCCAAGAAGAGTTTGAGAAGGTTTAAGGTACAGATTTGAATAATGAGGAACAAACATAGGGAAGTAACCATGTTATATTTAGGGAACACAAGTAATAGACCGTAATAATAAAAGGCAAACAAGTTTGGGATAAGAAACTCTGATGCGCATCTTGAGGAAAGTCAATTTAATTATAAGTGGGAGGACTTAGGCAAATACTACTTGAAAACTTTAAATTGGTTCAAGAAAAAAGGCAGAACTGCAGTCCAAGTTTTCAGAGAAAATTAGCATGATTAGTTTCATCCCAATGAAGATGAAACTCAACCGAAGGCTCTCTTTGCCCAACAAGAGGGAAAGGGCCCCTTTAAGACCTGTATACATTAGTGTGCTGGGCCTGTCTTAACAAAGTGGCACAGACTGGGTGGATTTAGATAACAGAAATTTATTTTCTGAGGGTCCTGGAGGCTAGAAGTCCATCCATCTGTGTCGGGAGGGCCAGATTTTCCCAAAGGCTCTAGGGAAGGACTCTTCCTGCCTCTTCTTAGATTCTGGTCACAATCACTGATCACTATAAAGACTGCCTTTATCTCTTAATAATATATGATCTAATTTTATGTTAATTTATGTGTGGTTATTTTGACATTTGTTTCTTCTCTATTACAGAAAGCATCTCCTAACATTTGTTTTCTTGTTTTGCAGAAACAGAATCCCCATTTTTTAGCTAGGTAAGAGGTCACAAAGAATAAAGACCATTTTCCCTAGATTCCTTTACAGAAAAGCACGAACATGTGACTAAGTCTGGCCAGTGGGATGTGAAAAGAAGCAATGTATGCCATTTTTAGGTTACACTCATAATGTGAATTAGGCAACATCTCAGGATTGGTAAAGCAACAGCCTGAAACCTAATTCAATGTAGCTACATGGGATATTATATAAGACAGAAATAAATTTCTATCCTGTTTAAGTTGCTTCATTATAGATTTTTTTTTTTAAATGGCAGCTAAATCTGTTCTCCATAGGATTAAAAATTCTGTGATGTCAGAAACTCTTGTCTCTTTGGGTGCACCATTGTATTCCTAGAGGCCAGGCACAGTGCTTTCGACTTGGTAGAAGCCAAAATTATTTTTGGTAGATGAATGAAACAGAGTTCTGTACTTTAGAGCTACAGAGAATAAATGTAGTGATTGCAACTTAAGTTAAACTTTAAATAAAATTTATAGTTATTTAACCAGTTAAGTTGTAAAATCTAGAGGTTAAGAATAATGCTTGTTTGAACAATACTACCTGATAAAATCCATTAGCACTAGAATTCATCCTAATTGGCAGAAGAGGCTTATCAAATTTGTCATATAAGTCAATGAAGCAAAGGGCACTAATATTATAAGTAGTTATTATTAATCAGTTACTTATTAACTGTCACATTAAAAATTGATAAAATTATGCTATGCACACAGGAATATACCACAGTGAATTTCACCTTTATGTATATCTATAAAATATTTTAAAAACTAGTATAAAAAATAAATAAATTGAAGGAAGACCAGTAGTGTAGAGGAAGGAGAAGGTGGAGAAGGAAGTAAGAGAAAGGGAAAGAAATGGGGACTGAAGGGGAGCAAATTATATTCCATGCTTGTATGATTATATCAAAATAAAACCTAATATTATGTAAAAACTATAATTGCACTAATAAAACCATAACAAAAGAAGAGACCTAGTCTAATCTGTATTTCTTCAAAGATTCAAAATAAAAAATTATTCATTGGACTATAGACTTATTGCATACAAAGTAACCAACAAATGACAAATGAAAATAACTTCAATAGTTATTTATAAAAGCATTTCACTAAGTAAAACAATCCTAATATGAACTATTCTATCAACATGGTAAACATGTTAAATGAAAATATACAATTTTAAACCTAGAGCTCTATAATTATTCCAAGTTTTGTTGATGTAGATTAGTTGTTCAAGGCTTATTTAGATAAAATGATGTAATGAATTAGGAAGAAAGAATTTTGAACATGTAAGTGCTCTTTTTCATCCATATTCATTAATCTACATTGCAAACAGGATTTATACTAATGTTGATTTCATTAGGGATATTTCTAGTTTCTAATACAATATTGTACATCTTTATTAAGGGAATCACCACATTTCATGCTGATGGAAATCTTTGAATCTTTTTTTTAAGTAAATTTTTAGTAGTAGATAGACACAATACCTTTATTTTACTTAGTTTTTTATGTGATGCTGAGGATCAAACCCAGTGTCTCACATGTGCTAGGCAAGCGCTCCTCCACTAAGCCACAATCCCAGCCCAATCTTTGAATCTTAATTAATTGTAAAGCCTCAGAGAAGCTACATAGGAAATTCTACTTTAGACAACAGAAATGTATCACACATCAGAAAAAAAATCAAGATTTATGAATTATTAAAATCTAATTAAGGGGCTGTGGTTGTGGCTCAGCAGTAGAGTGCTTGCCTAGCACATACAAAGCGCTAGGTTCGATCCTCAGCACCACATAAATATATATAAATAAAATAAAGGTGTTGTGTATAACTGCAACTAAAAAAATTTCTTTTAAATAATTAAGTTGAAAATTAAGCATAATTTACCAACTCTAATGAAATAAGATTTATTTCTAATTGTTCAATGGTTATTTTAAGAAAAATAAAACTTGTTTTGGTTTGGGGGGAAAGGAGTGTGAACTATACCTTTCTCTTCTATGAAAACTGGGACAACTATAGTTTTAGACTATGTTTTGCCAATAACTAGCTGTAAGGCCTAAGCAGGCAATGGTCTCTTCTAGGTCTTGATTTTCTTATTCATGAAGGAACAAGATACAATGATTTCCCAAACTCCTGCCAGTTCAAATATTCTGATAACTACCTTTTGAAGTTTCCTTGAGATTCATCTCAGTACTCAAATTTTACAGTAAAAAATATTTTATCTGGCCTTTACCAAAATCAGCTATTAGTAATGAAGTCAGAGAATTAATGCATAATTTAAAAACACAGAAAACTCCCAAATTGCCATCTTTCTCAAAGCTTTCTTTAAAAAAAGTGATATTATTAAAATATCTGGACAAAAATTGAACTTTTCATGGTTCAATTTTTTTTAATACTACTCACAGAAAATGAAAGTCAAAAAAATAAAAGTCAAAGAAAGAGTAGCAAGAAATAAGGAGAACTACAAAATCTAAAGTGACACAGACTGGATTTGCTGAATGAATAAATACATGAATGAAGAGATGAATAGAAAGTGGAAGAAAAACTATAATCTATTCTTTACCTCTATGAGTAATGCAACCATCTTTTTCCCATCGGCTTCAGGATTGGCAGGTTTGTTAAATTCCAAATCAAAATAAAGTTTGCATACAGCATTTTCAGGAATAACTTCATAGCAGTGCATGAGACTTTTTCTAAATTGAATAATTCAAGATTGTTAGATTTATATCTTATACCATTTAGTCAGTTAGTTAGATTGAACCCAGGGCACTCTACCACTGAGCTACATCTCCAGTCCATTATTTTTTTATTTTGAGACAGGTGCTGAGGCTGGCCTCTGTAATTCATGATTCTCCTGCCTCATCCTCCCAGTTTGCTGGGACACAGGTGTGTGCCCCTGCATCTGGCTTTTACCTGTTAAATCATGGAAGCTGATCTTATACCTCAAGGACAGTGTAAACTGTGCTTTAACTGCATATGCCTATGAGATAACGTAATAAAGAAAATGTGCTCACAACAGGTTTATTGCTCACACTACCAAGAGTTTCCATCAAAAGATATAACAATTATATTCTAAAACATTATTTAACTGGAAAATAAGGTCAGTTTTATAGTGTTATTTATTCACAAATGTTTGATATTATATAATATCTCTGAATTTGTTTTTTGGTATCATCATAAAACAAATTTGAGAAAATATTTTTTTCCCTCAAACTGCGGTCCTGGAATCACATATTCTTGAGGTTCTATAAATTTTTCATGAGAATTTTTCAATTTTGTATTTTCAGTAGTAAGATATTTTAGAAACTGGTAAAGAAATATTCTGAATGACTTGACTTTACTAATGTTTCTAATGAACACATTTACAGTTACAGTCTTGCTAAAAAGGGGGGAAAGACTTTGATACAGGTAATAAGAATGGATGATGAGGATTGGGGCTATAGTTCAGTGGCAGAGTGCTTGCCTAGTATGTGTGAGGCACTGGGTTCAATCCTCAGCACTACATAAAATAAACAAATAAAGGCATTCTATAATTAATCAGGTAAATACTCATTTGTAATAATAGTACAACATAATACTTGTTTGCAAAAGAAAAACTTCACAGAATTCCCTTTGGATACACAAACGTGTATGTGTGTGTGTGTGTGTGTGTGTGTGTGTGTGTGTGAGAGAGAGAGAGAGAGAGAGAGAGAGAGAGAGATTGATTTTTCTTTCCAACACCAGGTGAAATAATTGAGCACTGCTATGACAAAAGTACTCCAAACCCAATTCTAATAGTAAAGGAGTGACTAATCTGTTAGAAATTACTTACCGAGATTTATAGTAAAACCAAAGTTGAGCATAGGTTGTTACAAGGTAAATGCGTTGACCATCTCCCACTTTACATTCCAAAGCAAATACATGAACATCCTTAAAAAATCAAAAATAATATTCAACAAAATTCAAAAAACGCAAATCTAAATTCAATTGCATGCTATTAAATATTCATAAACATTTTCATGCTTCAAGTTTTCAGAAACTGGAATATGGACAATCATATTATTAAAAAAAAGTCACTATATCCATGCAATTCAAAATCTATTTATATTTATTTCTAATCATTCACATCATGTACAAAATGGAAACAAACAGAATGGATTAAAGGGGAAAAAAATTCTTGATTCCATTACATTAAGTTAAAACCTCCTACGACAGTTGTATTTCTTAGTATATGAAATTAAAGCTATATTTATTTCAAAACTACCTAAATATTACTACAAATAATTTGAGCTAAAAATCAATTAATCAATTCTCTAATATTTATAAAAATGTGTGGGAATGAATTTTTTAAAGACTTCTAAAATACTGAATTAAATAGACCTTCATGGCTGGGCTGTAGAGCTGCTTCTAATAAAGGCATATATACACATGTTCTTTTGTTTCCATTTAAGCTAAGGAAGCCGTTCAGCCTACTTTCATTTTCATGAATGAAGAAATCATAGGACTCAGCTGCTCGATCCTATTAAAAATCTTTTTGAAATAAATTTTATAAGTTGGTAATTAACAAAACCAGCAGGCAGACACCTGTATCTTTTTTAAAAATCCAAATTGACATGAATCTATGTTTTAATTTCTGATACTTGAGTTAGGTTTGTACAAAATAATTAAGAAAAGTTTTTCTTATATTTCCTAAACTATTTTGATAAGATATAAGTGAGCTTCTTCTTGCTAGGTAAAGAAGGGTCTCACTCCCAAAACTTAAGTGTATTAGGTTTCTACACAACATCAATGGCCAAGAGTTACAATACATTTAATTTGGATTAAAATATGCACCTTATCTTTTCCTTTATACTTCTTTATTTCTGATGGTATCCAACAAACAAAGAATGTGCAATGTACTCTATTGTTTCATATATTAATTTTTTTGAATGTTTCAAATACTTCTTCCTCCCACTTGCTTAATGTGTTGGCAATATGTATGGCTGCCCTTTCTCTAAGCACAGCTTCATTTAAATATGATTACACATTTTTTAAACTAATTGGACTATCTATATCATTTTTTATTACTAATACAAATTAAATGGTTAATGATTTGAAGGAATAATATCCTACAACATGTGATTTTAAGATTGCCATTAAATCCTCTTGATAGAGAACATAATCTGAAATGGAGTCAAATAGATATTTTTAGAAATCTTGAGTCATAGTTGTTCTAAAAAAACAAAGAGAAGATGAAGCAATTACCTCTTTACAGCTTTTAACAAAATTAAAAGCTTGATTTTGTCGATAAAACAGCTTCCAAATGGAGGGTGGTTCTTCTGACTTGGACAATCTTGGTCTATAAACAGAGGACAATGGTTTCCTCTCATACTGAGATGCTAGTTCTTCAATTCGCTTCAGTTTTTCTTCCCATTTTCTCTTCATTGGTTTATAAGTGTGGGGAGAATAAATCCTGTTCCACTTAAGTTTTCTATCAATTAGTATTAAAACAAACAAACAAAAAGGCCATCAATTTCTTTGTTTAGAACATGTTTTGGTGGAGAAAATTTCAAACTCATTTCCTAACATTTATGTCTTTATTTGCTTTATATTCTCTTTTTAAATTAAAGAGTTTATACCTTTCATTTTTTTAAAGAGACAGAGAGAGAGAGAGAGAGAGAGAGAGAGAGAGAGAGAATTTTAATATTTGTTTATTTATTTTTTAGTTTTCCGAGGACCCAACATCTTTGTTTGTACATGGTGCTGAGGATCGAACCCAGGCTGCACGCATGCCAGGCGAGCCCGCTACCGCTTGAGCCACATCCCCAGCCCGTATATTTTATTCTTTACGTGAAGTTTTACCATTGAACAAGAACAGGACTGGTTATCAGAAATCTTAGATTCTCTTCCATCTAACGGCTCTTTCACCTAGTAGTGTTATGACTTCAGAAAGGTTAATAAAGCTCCCAGAATCTTGCTTTTTTTTTTTAAATGGGAGTTAATAACCTTTTGACTACTTTATGTAGTATCCTGAGTATAGATGTGATAAGAATATAAAAATATTTTATACTACACAAAGTTTCACATAAATGTAAGTGCTTTTTTTTTTCAATCATTATAGCTTTTCTTTTAACCATTTTATTGCACCACCTGCTACCTACATGCCCAGCTGGTACTACTAACTTGGTCACCATTCTTCTGCTACTATTTCTTAGTATAGAGTTCACGTCTAGACACCAGTGTGTACCTCTTAGTTCTCTTTTATTCTGTTTCTGATGTCTATTTGTTGTCTCCCAACACAAGTTTTAGTATTTAAGCATAACGTCACTTAAATGTCATTACAATTTTTTTTTCCAGCAAGAGATGCCATCTAAGCTCAGTTCCATATGAACTCTGGGTTTAGCCCTGTGACTTGCTGGGGCTAATGTCACACTGACAAATGTAAAATAAAAGAGGTGATTTTGCATTGGATTTGGCTATCCTGCAGTTCTCTCCTGAGACTGTCATGTTATAACTGTGGCCTCATAAAGAATGAAAGGTCATATGGAGAAGAAACAAAACATCCCAGCTAACAGCCAGCACCAGCAGTTAGATATGTGAATCCAGAGTAACATCTAATCCACAAGAAAACTGTAAACCAAAAAACAAACATAGTTCTAGAGATATAAATATAAATTTCACAACAGATACTCCTCGGAAAGAAACATCAATTTAGTGGATTGAGGAAATGGGACAGTATTTTTTAAAATTCATTTATTTATTTATTTTTACATTACAAGTATTTTTAAAAGCTACTTTAACTTGTCAATACAAAGTGCTATGGTTCTTAGCCAAATGTGGTGATGCAACACCTGTAATCCCAGCTACCCAATTATTTGGACATAATATCTCTATTTTATTTATTTATTTTTATGTGATACTGAGGATTGAACCCAGTGCCTCATGCATGCAAGTCATGTGTTTTACTACTGAGCTACAAACCCAGCCCCTATACCCAGTTATTTGGGAAGCTGAGGTAGGAGGATTGCAAGTATAAGAGAGCCTGGAGAACTTGGGAGACAAAAAAAATTTTAAAGGGGTGGGAGAATGGACTGAGGGTGTAGCTCAGTGGTGAGCCTGCCTACTATGTGCAAGGCTCTGGATTTAATCCCCAGCTTGTGTGTGTGTGTGTGTGTATGTGTGTGTACATAGTGCTATGGTTCTTTATTGCTAGACAGATTCTGGATATTCATTTTACTTTAATCTGCTTCATAACTACATAAAAATCCACTATATTTAGATAAACTTTATATATTGAGAAACTGTCTATTATATGAAATGTATTAACTTTCTTTTTTTTCTTTTGAATTTTTAATATTTATTTTTTAGTTCTCGGCGGACACAACATCTTTGTTGGTATGTGGTGCTGAGGATCGAACCCGGGCCGCATGCATGCCAAGCGAGCGCGCTACCACTTGAGCCACATCCCCAGCCCTGAAATGTATTAACTTTCAACAAAGTCCACTGTTTGCTTAATGAAGAAAATAAACACAGAATACAGTCATATCTGAATCATAGTATCTAACCAACAATTGACTAGGAATAACCATATAAACATTCACACTTAGTGACATTGAAATCTTAATTTTTCTTTTTTGCAGTACTGGGGATTGAGCTCAGGGCCTCATGCATGCTAGGCAAGCACCTTATTACAAAGCTACATTCCAAGCACTTTCTATTTTTTCTTTTGAGACAGGGTCTCACTAAGTTGCCAGCCAAGTCTGAAATTTATGCTTCTCCTGCCTCAGCTTCCAGAGTAGTTGGGATCAGAGGCATATACCACAACAGCTAGTCTGAAATCTTCTCAGAAAAAGTTTTCTTGGGGCTGGGGATATAGCTCAGTTGGTAGAGTGCTTTCCTCACATGCACAAGGCCCTGAGGTTCAATCCCCAGCACCACGAAAAGAAAAAAGAAAAAGAAAAAGTTTGCTTGTTTTTATAAAAATCCTGGTATGAACATGGGAGTATGTCAAACATTAAAGTCACGGAATCTTCAATGGAAAACTAGTTGAAGATTTGCTGCCTTTGGGAAACCAGGAGCATCAACAGGGGGCATCGGGGAGTGGGTGGGATCAGTATATATCATGTCCCAAATTCTTTGCACAGCACGAAAATTTTAACAGCTGGTATGAGATCAGAAGACAACTGGAGGGCTGAATGACAAAAGCAAAGGAAATGGAGAATTGGAAGGCATCTGGCATTCTGGTTTGGGACTATCATATTCCTCATCTCTACCTTATGGGAGAATATGTCATCATATTAGAAATGCTTTTAATTCCTGGTGGAGAATGAATACAGTACTCTTTTATATAATTATACATAAAGATTCTTTTTACCCAGAGACCAAAACTATTTTTGGCAATAGTTTCCAGGTTCTAAAGGAAAATACTTGATGTATTTTAAGAGAGTAGGTTTAAAGAGCTTTATAATTTATTTCTCAACACTGCACCAGAATGTCTATTTAACCATGTTTGATATCCTTATCAGGTGGCTGAGCTAGAAAAAAAGGTTGGGTTAGTCTTTTCAGGGTAACTATGGGAGAAGGGGCAATGAGGATATAAATGGAGAGTCAACCATATCTAAGCAGCCTTGGCTTCCCTGGGTTTATGTTCAGACTTGCTCAGCTATGACTCTTTGTGGCTTCCCCCCAGCAGCTGGACTAGTGGAATACATGATTCATATTCACTAGCTTTTAGGGAGACCTGAAGCCAATCTTGCCATGCTTCTTTCTAGCCCAGCTCTCCTAGGTTCTCCTTTTATGTAATCATAGATCAACCCCAATTCCCTAACTCCAACTTCTCCCTCTATACTGAGATTAGATTCATCAGGATTTTGTGTTTTCTAGTAATATTCTAGTTCTAATATTTAGTAATATTCTGGTATACGACAAGGTTTTCTTAATATTATCCTTTTCCAGTTGCTTGTAATACATTTATATACTATTTTTCTTAGTGCTTAAATATTCATTCTAGAGTATGTGGTCAAAATTCACTTGTAGAAATATTATTATGGGCCAGGCATGGTGGTGCATGCCTGTAATCCCAGCAGCTCAGAGGCTGAAGCAGGAGGATCACGAGTTCAAAGTCAGCCTCAGTAAAACTAAGGTGCTAAGCAACCCAATGAGACGCTATCTCTGAATAAAATACAAAATAGGGCAGGGGATGTGGCTCAGTGTCAACTGCCCCTGAGTTCAATCCCTGGTACCAAAAAAAAGAAGTATTATATGTTTACTTCCTGGATGAATAACACCTTAAGAAATTAAACATAATTAACTGAACTTCCTCCTTTCCCCCCAGTTCAGTACTTTGCCTGTGTATGCTTAAACAAAAGTAACTCATATTTAAATTCCCAAAAACCTATCATATGGGCAAAGAAAGCTTATAGCAATGGGTGCAGCCTGTAATACATACGACTTCAAGACTGAAGCAGGAGGATCACAAGTTCAAGGCAAACCTCAGTAACTTGGCAAGGCCCTAACCAACTTAGCAAGGCACTGTCTCAAAATTTAAAAAAACATACAAAGAACTGGGGATGTAGCTTAGTGGTAAAGCACACCCCTGGATTCAATCCCCCGTACCAAAAAAAAAAAAAAAAAAATCTTATAGTGATACATTGTTCTTTTCTAGTATTTTCTTTTGGGGGGGGGGGCGGGGTAACCAGAGATTAAACTCAGGTGCACTCAATCACTGAGCCACATCCCCAGCACTATTTTGTATTTTATTTAGAGACAGGGTGTCAGTGAGTTGCTTACCTCCTCAATTTTCCTGAGGCTGGCTTTGAACTAGCAATTCCCCTGCCTCATGCCTCAGCCTCCAGAGCTGCTGGGATTATAGGCATGCTCCACCTCCCATCCAAACAACATAACTCTGCCAGACACATCCTTAAACTATGTTCAAAACTTTCCATAGGAATACTAATTAACTATTTCACAGCATCACTCAATTCACATTATAGCTTACTTCATGAAGTCTAAACTCCCTTCCAGAATCTGGCCTTAAATCACTTACCTATTATTATTCTCGTTCAGCTTTCTCACCAAATGAATGATAATGATCACTTTCTGCTCCTGGACCACTCCAGAAATTCTCTTGCTCTTGTTTCTCTCACAGTTGCTTTTCTGAATTCTTCTCCTTCAAGGTCCAGATCAAATTCTGCTACCTCCAGGACACCTCTGTAAAGAGAAATGATAGGGCTAAGTCAGGAAACACTGCCTCTAGCTGTTTGCTATAATTAATACTTCTCTAGATTAAGTAAATTAGTATAATTTAGGTGAAAAGAAGAAACTGCTGCTAATGCTTTATTGAAAGCATGATTTTTGCAAGAAAATTTAGCATAAGGGGAGTTATTAATTATATTGTGTGAATATGTAACAACTAATGAATGAATATGTAACATTAATATGTACAACTATAATGCACCCCCAAAAATGGGGGGGGGGCATCACAATGGGGTAAGGAGGACTTGTTAAATCATATTAGTTCTCTCTCTGCTAATTACTGCCCTGCTGAACCACTATTAGGGCTGAGTGGGTCCTAGTCCTCAGTTTTATCACAGCAGAAAAAGGACTGCCACTGGTCCTCACTCCATTTGGGAGGTATTTCAAAAAAGGCCTACTTTTTATTTCTGGGATCTGAATTTAACTACTGTGGTTCTCTGCAAAGACCAAACCACTTAACCTCTTTAAGTTCGGATGGAGACTGGAATTCCTACATCCAGCAGTTGTCTAAAGGGTATTGTGGCCCACGCCTGTAAACCCAGCAACTCCAGAGGCTAAGGCAGGAGGATTGCAAGTTCAAAGCTAGTCTCAGCAACTTTGCGAGACCCAGTCTCAAAAAGTGGCTCAGTGGTTAAGCGCCAGTTGGTTAAATCCCTGGTATAAAAAAAAAAAAAAAGAAAAACTAAATGTGTTAAGAAATTTAAGAGCCCAGGCTAAGCACTCAACAAATGGGTGCCATGTGTTTAACTGTGTATATTTATATCAGAATACAGCAATATAGCCCGATTTACATCCAACTGGACAAAACTGTTGGGGGAAAGTAGGTTCTATCATGGGGGGGTGTCCCCGATTTCTTGACAGAACTTCAAAATTATAACTAAACACAAAATCTGAGCAGCAGTTCGTGCTCACGTGCGTTGGTATATTCTTCTATGAAGACACTTTACAGTTTGCATGAGGGTCTGGAACGGAGCGCAGAACCCAACACAGGCCGGAAACCTGGAGGACAGTTAAGATTTTTGATTTAGGGGCAGGGAGCTGGGGGAAACCAAGGAAAGGCCTGAGGTCTTTTGAGGGGAAGGAGAGTTTACCAGTGCGAGTCTGGGCTCGCTCCCTCCCTCCCGGAGCTCAAACTGGGCAACAGGCGACACTTTATCTCCGCTGTTAGTGACCTTGGACCAGGCGTGGCCGGGGGTTGTACCTCAACTTACCTCCGGAAACCAGTGGGTCGGGGGCGGAAGCCCGCGGGTCTTCAGCCGAGGGCGGGATGCAGACTTCAATCTCCGCGCGGGGGCGGGCCCAGCGCGCGGGGCGGGGCTGCCGCCGGAGAAAGGCGGGCTCCGCTCCGGGCCCAGCGGGGACGTGGTCCTGCGGCGGGCTGGGGCCAGGCGGGCCGGAGCTGAAGTAAGCTTTGTCGCCAACCTAAGTGCGAGCTCCGCGGGGCCGAGTCGGGCCGGGGGCGGGGCCGAGGCCGGGGCGGGGCCAGTGGGGAGGGGCGGGGCCTGTGGGGCGGGGCCTCCGGCGGCGCGGGCCTAGCTCTCACCTCTCCTGGCGGCGGGTGGCGGAAGCCTTGCAGTCGCGGAGGGGAGCGGTGTGTGCCGAGTGGCGCTCGCTAGAGCTACGCGGTAAGTGGCGCGCTCGCCCCTTGTCTGCCCTGCGCCGTTTGCCCTCGGCTCGCTGGCTTCATCCCCCCAAGCCCGGCGCCCACCGCCAGGACCTGCTGGTGTCTGCAGCTGCTGCGAGGGGACCGAGGAAATGGGCGGTCTGGGCAGCGGATCCTTTGTTTTGTGACGACTAGGACTGCGGGGCGAGCAGTGAGGCGGCGGAGGGAGAGACCCTGCCGCGGAGCTGGAGTCTGGGCTGGGTGTGGAGACCCAGGAGATGAGAGGCCGCAGAGCGGAGGCTGGGTCCTAAACACAAGCCGCGGGGCGCCGAGCTTCGTCGGCGGAGGCCGGGCGGGGAGGGGGCTGCGGCCGGGTGGGTAGGCCGTGGGCGCTGAGGCCCGGCAGGTGGAGGCAGGACCGAGACGGGAGGAGGTGGGATGCTGGAGAAGTGACGGCGGCTGGACTCGCGGGCCCTGGCCGGGATCGAGAAGGGAGGAGCGGCCCCGGGAAACTCTGCCCTGGGGGCTGAAAGCCTGCCAGATGCTGACTGAGGCGCTGGTTCTGGGAGCTGATCCTGCCATTATTGCACGAGTGTTTGGAGTTTGCTGTTGTCTAGGACCCGATCCTAGATTTTTCTCAGGTTGACTGTGTGGTTTTAGTTTTTCCAGAGAGCTAATTTTTAAGCATTAACCCCAATTCCTTTTCAGACCTGGTGGCTTTCGTCAATCCCCCAGTTCCTTTCTGTGTTTCTATATCCATAGTCAAAGTTACTGTATCAACAGCTCAATCCCTTCAATTCGTGCTGAATTAGTGTCACACTTGACACTCTTTTTCTCAGTGGGTCTGATCTTAAGCCTGACTTGAGCTGCTGCCTGGGGACCCAGAAAGCATACGTCTCACCTACCCCACCCACTCCTTCCGCAGTTAGTCACCAAGACTTGTCAACCTCCTAAACGTCTGCCTCCTAAAGATCCTTGCATGCCCCTCCATCTCTAATTTCAACCGCTCTGACTTTGCCAGCCTCCTCTCTGGTCTCCCCACTGTCTCCGGCTTCATTCCAGTCCATTCGTAACAACGTGAAAATATAGAAAACTGTTTCTTTATCCTCAGGGTAAATCTAGTACCCTAATGTGGTTAACAGAAAGCCAAGTATTGAGGTCCTGAGTACCCTCCTCTGCGTTATCGTTTACCATGTATCCTTTCACTTTCTATATGGTCCTGTGTTCACCTTCATACCTGTTCTCTTCCTGGAACACATTTACATTCCCGTTCTCCTCCCATCACATTTGCTTGCAAGTGGGAACTCCTACTTAGGTTTCTGTTTTAACAGTTGAAGATCAGATCTTCCTATTATGTGTTTCTTTTGCACCAGGCATTTCCTAAGCAGCATCTGTCATATCCTTTACAGTTTGTATTCTTCTCTACTGGATTATAAGCAAACTCCATGAGGGATTGACTTGATTTAGACTAAACTGAAGTAGTAGAAAGGACAAAGATCCTACCCTTATGCAGATCTTATACAGATATTCACAGGTAAAATGGCTCAACAAGGCAAATGCAGGGCTATGTTCATTCCCTAGCAGATAACTTTATCATACCCTACCATAATACAGAATGTATTGTCAAAGACATTTGTTCAACTCATCCTCACAACAACCCTGTGAGGTGCATATATTATAACTAATTTATAGGATGAGCTAGCAAGTCTCAACTTGGGGACTTAGGCTTAGGTCATCTGACATTAGAATACCCTTTACCCTCCAATACATTTGCATTCATAAAATAGGTACAAAACAATACTTAAGAATCTAAAAATTCCCACTTTTTTTTCTTTTCTTTTTGATTTTTTAATTATTTTTAGGTACACATGACTGATGTCATGTACATACATAGTGTACAGCTTATTCTAATTAGGATCCATTTTTGTTCTTCTACATGATGTGGATTTACACTGTTTGTGTATTCATATATGAACATAGGAAAGTTATGTCTCATTCATTCTACCATCTTTCCTATTCCCATCCCCCCACATTTTTTTCTTTAAAGTCCAATACTCCCTATCTTTGGGGAAGAATTTAAAGAATTACCTAATACTAAGACCAGAATGAATACAATGTCATTCATGAAAATAAAAATAGCTTTGTAACATTAGAAGAGCAATGAAGCAGTAGGAGATTCTCTTAAATTATGTTTGAAAACAATAAACAGCATTTTAATTTCAAATATCAGATAAGATGCCAGTTTCTTAAAATGGCAGGGGGCAAGCCCTTTTCTCAGAAAGCTCAAACATTCAGATTATAACAGGGTTGATTTAAGCTTTACATTTAATTTTAGAGATCATGTGACCATAGCACATTCAAGTGGCTGAGCACATCTTGATAAAGTCTTTCACCACTTTACTTAGCACTTATGTTATCTTTCAATGAGTTCATGTTTCACCTCTACCATTCTTTTCTAATCCACGTGTTTTAGTTATAATTTGCTAAATAATCCTTTTAAAAAGTTTATTTTTTTTCTAGATCAGGCATAATCATTAAAAAGCAAAATACTGTAATAAAACACAAACACACACACACACACACACACACACACACACACACGTACAGGCATTCACTTGTGTTAGGTCCTGGTTTGGGGAAAATAAAATGTAGAACACCATGATAAGTATAGTCAATCCTTCATGGATTCTTCTCTACAATCTAGTAGGAAAGACTACAAACAACTGTAAAGGATATGACAGATGCTTCTTAGGCAATGCCTGTTGCAAAAGGAACATGTATTAGGAAGACTTGATCTTCAGTTTGTTAAATGAAAATAGAAACCTAAGTAGGAGTTTCTACATATCTGCCCACAGTTGATGTTCAGTAAATTATTATGGTTATCTATATAATTTTTATAAATGGTACTTACGATCCTTCATTCTACATTTATTTCATACAAAATATTTAGGTCTACAGGGGGTTTTCTATTTTCTCCTTTTGTGTCTCCAAAAAATATTATCTCAGGACTGAACTTGGGAGAGAAGGAAAAACAGATCCCTTTGCACATGTTGTACCATGTCCTTTCTGACTTGGTACAAAATTGGAGGCTCTGAATAGTGGTAACATACTAGTCTTTCTTATTGTGTGGCCCACACCAAAGAAAAGGAAAGTATGGTGCATATGTGCATGTGCTACAACTTAATTTAGTTTATTCTGTATTTAATCTTACTTTCCATTTGTGTGTGTGTGTTTTTAATTTAATTACCTTTTAACTATTAAGAGATTGAATTTAGGGCTGAGGATGTGGCTCAAGTGATAGGGTACTAGCCTGGCATGCATGAGGCACTGGGTTCAATCCTCAGCACCACATAAAAATTTTAAAAAGTAAAGATATTGTGTCCACCTAAAACTAAAAAATAAATATTTAAAAAAAGAGATGAATTTATCAGGCCCAATGATAGTAGCCAGTTTAGTAATTCTTATAATTCCACATAAGTGATTCTTATATGTCCCTGAAGAACTTTAGAGACCAAATAGAGATAGGAAAGAGACCAGATTTAAAACCTCTGGTACATTATTACAACTGAAATCCAACCTATTGTGACACAGATGTTGTTTCTGTTTCACTTACTTAATCTGGAAATGTAACTGCTTTTGAGATTTTGTTATCACTGATAGGTAATAAATGTAACCCTGATATTTTTCAAATTGTTTGATAGAAATACAGTCTTCCCAGAAGTCCCATTGGAATGGATTCACCCTTCCTTTGGAGGCAGGTGGAAATGTAGGAAATCTCTCAAAGATTTAATGAATGCCTAACATGAAACCAGTTATTTTATTTTAGAAGTAAATGACCTCATGGCATCAGAAACATAATCTTCATTCCTATTTTCTTCATTACTTAGAATAAGTACTCTACAGTTGCCACTTAATATCTGTGGATTCAACCAACCACAAATCAGAAATATTAGGAGATAGGTTGAGGACAAAGCTCAGTTGGTAGAGTGCTTGCCTTGTATGCACAAGGTCCTAGGTTCAATCCCCAGCAACACACACACAAACACACACACACACACAATTGCTTCTGTACTGAACATGTACAGACTTTTTTTCTTGTCATTATTCTCTGAACATCATAGCATTTACATTGTATTAACTATTATAAATAATCTAGAGATGAGCTAAAATATATAGAAGGTATGATAGGTTATATGCAAGTAGTATTCCATTTTATATGAGGGACTTGAGCATCCTTGGATTTTAGTATCCAAGAGAGGTCCTAGAACAGATCACCCACAGATACCGAGGGACAACTGTATATCCTATTTCAGTTCTCAGTAGTCGATTTCTAACTTGTTACTAATGTTCTTTGTGTCAACTTAATTATAGCTTTCAGATTATGGATTTTTATTGCCTTTTTTTAATTAACTGGTATTATCACTCCCATGATTTTTTTTTTAAGTCGTGGATGAATCTTTTATTTTATTTATTTATTTATATGTGTTGCTGAGGATAGAACCTAGTGCCTCATATATGCTAGGCAAGTGCTCTACGGCTGAGCCACAACTTCAGCCCTACTCCCATATGATTTTAGCCGCCTATAGAATATGGAGTGGGAGTTGGCTCTCTTGGGTCATATCCTTGTATGAATTCTGGCTCTGACACTTTTTAAACTTCTCTAAGTCTCAGTTAACAGAAGCATAAAATGGGACCATTTTGTCTCAGGATCTTTTTGAGAGGACTGACTAAAAATACATATGGGCCTTTCATCCCAGAGTAGTCTATATTAACCAGAAATAAAAGGCATTTTAAATTTTTGCTTAGGTGAATTTTTTAATTAGAAGTGTTTTTTTCAAAGTATTCATATTCATGGAAATGATTCAAAAATTATCAGTGTTGATTCTTAGGTCTCATAAGATTTAGAAAACTCTTAGGGCAGAGACCAGGTTTTAGAGTGTCCCTATAGGTCAGGCACCAAAAACAGCCTAATAATGGGGGGCAGATTTCCTAATTAAGAATCTCTAGGGGCTGGGGTTTTGG